AGGGGCACATTATACTTCCACGTGATTTCTGTGCGGTTGGTCTCTACGTGACATACTTAGTGGAAACCTCATAGAAAGCGTGAGTGTGCAAAGCTGTGTTCAAAGTGATTGAAATTTTGGTTTGGGGTTTCTTTGTTTGGTTATGGAGGCGTCTGGCCGAGTGGGTTGCTATCAACTTGACCTTTCCAGGCTCTGAAGAAGGCGAAATTCGCCGAAACGTCAGCTTAATCGTGAACAAAGAACAATAACACCTCGCGTTTGCTCAAAAAAATACGAACAAAATCACTTGATCAATGCCGAGGTTAATAGAAAGTCGGTCGTGGCAGTTATATATATATATTCTTTCTATTATATATTCTATATATAAGAATATATATTCTATATATTCTTATGCGAATGCAAATCGAATTGTCAAGTTTTATCTGCTAGGGTTGTGAAAGTGTTTGGCTGAGTAGATCACATCTCAATTTGACCTTTCCAGGCTCTGAGTAAGGCGAAATCGCCGAAACGTCAGCCATCGACCAACAATACCAACAACAATAAAATGAGTCTGTTTGTTCGTATAGTGGCAACACCATTGTGCCCTTCACTTTTCTTCCATGTAGGTATTGTGGTCACCTGTATACACGCAATTGCTCTAATTGCGAACAAAGTTGCCCCTATATTAGTTGGTGCAATGGAATTTAGAATTTCGGGTCAGTCTTCGGCGCGGAATTATTAACTCGAAGTAGAATGCTCGACTCTGTATGGGTGCGCCACGCGTTACTTTTGACGTAGCACGAAGGTCAGTTTCAAGCTTGGGTTATAACTGTTTATAACAATAAAAACAATACAATACGCATAATCTGACAATGGATAGCTGAGTGAGCAGGCACGAACAAGAACGAAATGAGTTAAGTGAAACACCTGAAGGAAGCTGGGCAAACACTGGAGTTGGGACACTGGAGGAGTGAGGCACCTAAATACAGTGACACTGAAGCACTGGAGGACTGGAACACAGGTACTGGTTTGATGACTAATGGTGCTGCTTATATTCCCTCTGTCATGGGTGGGGCTTTTACAGAGAGAACAAGTGAGAGTGCTCAGAGAGAACTTCTAAAACTTTCTCAGCAAGCACATTCTGGTAGAGCTACTTGCACAGAAGGTTCGTGAAGTATGTGCAATAGTTTATACAGAAAGTGCATGTGACTGAGATGCAGTGGCTTATACGAAAAATTGATTAGAACGGCAGATGCTCGAAAGTGCATGCGGGTGACAACTGCTCCTTCAGTGCTCGAAATATCGTATAAAGAAGAACGGTTTCTACAAAGAAGTTGCAGAATCTTAGTTAAGACAGCTGCGATACAGCAGCATAAAGTGGTCGCTAAAATCTAATTTACAGAAGATGCAAGGATAGATTTAGAATAATTACAAGTAAACAGTATAGGAAATATGCGCTAATATGAAAAGAAAGAGCTATTTGACGAACAGTTACTATATCGAACAGCGAACAACAAGCATGGACCATCGACTCGGATCACCGGCTCTGAGGAAGACGAAGACGTCGAAACGTTAGCCGAAAATAAATATATTTATCAACCTCGTGTAAGCTTATCAAGAAAGAATACATATTGATTAATCACACCGAGGTTTAGGGAAGGTCGGTTTCGAAATAGTTACTATATCCTCTATGGGCACCAAAACTGCCCAGTAGGCTCTTTTTTTCGAATGAAAAAAGGATTGCACTTTTCTAATTAATCCATTTATTTGTATTACTTTCGAAGAAGATGACCTAGTGTGTTTCAAAGGTTCTGCCGTTGTGCGGTAGATGTATGAACAAGTAGTCTGGAGAAAACTGTAACAGAGAAAGAAAACTATAAATTCCTTCAGTTATTCTTTAATACTTTTTAAATACTAGCAACAGACGACGTCTAAGGTAATATCTTTGGTTACATCTACTTTGTTCCACTTGAATCTTGCGATCGGCAAGGATAACCTGGATCTCGCAAACAGACAAGGTTTCACTCAATGTCACGCATACCCTCTAATTTTCTTCGGAAATCCATTGGATTCTAAGAGTTTAATGAAAAACTTTTTTCTCGACTCTGCTGTTATTGACTTTCCCTTTAATCCTCTTCCATCAACATTTCCATACTAGTTGATATGCTTCGTATCGCATTGTTACGATTCAATTTATTTCCACATTGTTACCCAGAATATTTGCAATGCTCTAAATCAGTCTTGAAACTCCTGACTAGTCAAGACCAGAGCCAGTTGATAGGACTTCCGATGCTTTTTTCGGAACTGATTTCAATGCAGTGCTCTCAGAAGACCATTCAGCTTTGATTTTCTTCAAAATGCGTGCCGAGATGACGGAAAGGAGTTTCGTGTTCGCCATTGCCACAAGCGCATTCTCCATGCTCGTGGTTGTGATAGCCATTCCACTGCTCCACGAGAATTTGGAGCACTTGAAAACCGAAATCCTAGAGGAAATCGACAATTTTCGGGTATGACCGTTTAACGCTAGACGATTCGCGAAATCTGCTATAATTAATAAAAACAAAGTGCTAAGACAATGCATTCATCAATTTCCAAGTTATTATGTTACACTATTATTAGTTCTTTTTGCCTCCCAACGGTTTACCGCCTAATTGTGGCTGGGAGGTGTTCCTGGGTGTCGGGCTGCGATGTACAGCGGGGGAATTCATCCCCAGGCAGGATCTCCGAAGCTGAGGAGGAGTCCGGCGTTTTCATCAGTAAGCCTACCTAAGAGTAAACCTTCAATGATGCATCCCGCTGACGGATGATTGCTTATGGCAGAGATCGATAGAATCAGCTGAGAGACAGGCGAAACGAAGGACCCTCATGGTGTGTTGGTGGACGCGTTACTCCCCGGAAAGGACAATAGCGCGTTCGTTCCCCACCGCAGACACCTGCGGTCCAGAGTTTTGCAAATATCTCAGCATCATTGATGTTCTATTTTGCAATATATCCTGCAATTAAAAGTAGTAGGCAGTAATTAATAAGTTAAAATTAAGAGTAAACCAATACCAGGATCCACCGTTCTGGGACCAAATTCGCATGGTGGTAAATCTCCCTCTGATCCACAAGGGCTGCGACTGCCTGTGGTGGTGATAATCTGGGGTAGATTTTGGCCAGGCTGACCTTGGGACACCAAGAAACCATAATGGCTTAACCAGTAAATCTCCGAAAAATGGAGATTATGAGGGGGCCCGCATACCCAGTGAGGGCGGGCCATTTCAAGCAACAAGTAAGTTAGTCCTCTTTGAAATTACTACCCAGTTTGCTCACATCTATAGCCAATCTCTCAAGATCCGACCCTTACAACATTAGGCTCACAAGATTGATCGATTCTTAGTTTAAGAGGTTCAAACTTCAAATTTCAATTACACACTATAATAACTTTCATAAAAGGGCGCTTGTGACGCAGTGATCGGAGGCGCCGTGCAACACACACGTGAAATCGGTCCCCATTCCCATGGCCCACCAAGCCCTCTATCTTTCCGGGGTCTGCAAATTGGTACCAGACTTGTCTGATATGATAGCAGCAGTGGCTCGATACATCGGTAGGCCACGGTGAGTCATTTTAAAGACCAGATATACATTCAGTCACCTCCAAACGATGCTTAATGAGGTCGAATACATGGCGCATCCCACAGGGATTGATCAACGCTAGGAGGTTTATCCTTTATTTTTATCCTTTAATAACTTTTATAAAATTAGCGTTATTTAACAAATTTATGAGGTAGAAGTTGCATCTTCTTGTCAAAATTTGACAATCGTATCCAAACATGTCTGTTCATAAAAATTTTGCACCAATGACATTTATAAAATATATGAACTAATAAAGGTGTTAGATGAATAGAGTTTCTGGTAATTTGTAGACTTCAACGGACAGAATATGGGCCGATCTTCTAGAAATTGAAGAAATTTCTAGACCAGCGAAAAGAGAGATCCCGTTCATCTACAGCTACCGACCATTCACACATCGTAAAACAAAACGTGAGTAATAATTTTCTTCCTACTACTTTTCGTTATAGTCAAGCACGTAGCACGAAGCACCCACATGCACATCACGCTGTCGAGTGTCATCCACCAAACTTAATTAGACAAAATTGCTTAGTGCAAGAATAGTTGTTGTGAAAAAACTGACTGAGGCCGAGCTCATGGCAGAAGCCGGAACCGGAACTAAGTGTTTCACTAAGAACTGCGAGTAATTTCACATTAATCTAGCACTCGTAAAGCAACCTTTTTCCACCACTTGAACTTTTCACAAAAACAAAAAAGTACTAGATTGTTTCTGATTGAAATGGAAAGGTTTGTCATGGATTATCACCTAAGTGTTTGTGAGGAATGTCTCTAGGAAACTGGGAACATCCACTGGCACCTGTAACGCCATATACCGTACATCACAGATCGCATCGAGTCTTCTAAAACTCTCGAGTATTCACCATGGTGTTCTATTTTTGACCAGAGCGGATCAGCTCAACAAAACTCTAATGAGTACAATGAACATCGTCGCCAAGTAGGCTAGTAGACAACTCAAGCACAATAACTCCTCACAGGTCCGCAATTTCTTAACAGACGTCACCTTATGTCTTGGAATATTCGAGTGCACAAACCTAAATGGTTACACATCAAGCCCATCATCAAAGGAGTCAACAACGAAGAGCGGCAATGGGGCAGACGTGTGGCGGTCACGATTAGACGTAAGTCACTCACTCACATCACAAAACTCGCACAACACTTAGTTATCTCTGTAAGAAATCTTAACTGTTTCGGATGTCAACTTCCTTTCTTATGCTTTCTTCAATAACTTTATTATTGTGCACAGTAAATAAACAGGAGAAGATGTATTCCACTTAAAACGTCGGTGCGCTGTGGAAACTGTTGATTGCCCTCCTAGAAAGATCTTTGGAATGTTTCTTTCACGCGTAGTTCAATTTCATGTTAGAATCCAGCGTTAAATTCTACAGTAATTCCACGTAGAACATGTTTATTGATTCATTTCAGCTTCACTGCGCCATATTCTTGAGCTTTCTGATGTCGGGCCGACTGGAATGTTGGATGAACAGAATTACAAAGGCAGTGAGTTCCTTGTTTAAATAAAATAGACGAAGCTTATCTTATTTTGATTTTTCGTGGTCGAAGAGCACTGCACAGCAAATTCTTCAGCATTGTTGATAAATAAGAACATGTATTAAGAGAACTGTGCAAAAAAATCCCTTCTCCATGACCTGAACTATGGTATTTGTATAATTGGCCATGTTCAACGTGCTGAACTATGCCTTTTCACCCCACGTTAATGGAAAGATTGGTTACAACGTGAGCGATATATGACTCAAACGCCTTGGGACAAACTAGTTGATGTGAGCCTGTACGACTCAATTTCTTTTTGGTTGCTTATTTCGCCACAGAGAAATTTGTTGCCACATTTTTGTAGTAATTAGACATTATTTCCAAACAGATACTGTGACGAGCGTCAGTTGAGAAAAGCTTCATAGCACCCATAATAATTCCTTTAGAAGAAATGTCTGCTTTGGATCAGGTGACACCCTTTTGCACTGGGTTTCAGAACTTAAGGATCCTTTATCGTTGCGATAAGATGATAAATCAGTAGATGAACTTATTTGGTTCGGTTCATAGAATGTACAAGAAGCGTGCACACAGTGCCCATTCGCAGCCGTGTTTTCACAAAGTGCCGTACTCCTTACAGCTAACACATTTAAAACGCTCTATAATCATCACACCCCTTCAACCTTTACGATACATGTCTTTTTCCCAGAATTTGTGTGAAAATGCAATACAACAATTACGTTTCTACAACATTTACAATTTACAATCCTTGCAAAATTTAGCAATCTACTAGTCCCACGACTACTCCCTTTGCGGTAACTATTGAAGGAATCCAAGCAAAAATATTTGTTAGATAAACAGTACCTAGTTCCTCTTTTGCTCAATATTCCAAAGGACTAGGTATAACAACTACATAGGACACGGGTAGCGTAGTGGTTCGAGGCGCCCTGTAATACACACGAGTTCCATCTTACTTCCCAAGTTTACGAAGCCCACCATCCGTCCGGGGTTGGCAAATTGGTACCAAACCTGTTTGGGAGGATAGCAGCACTAACTCAACACATCGGTAGACTACCGAATTTCAATTTGTAGCCCAGATATGCATTCAATCACCTCCAACGATGCTTAATGAAGTCGAGTGCATGGATCATTAGTAAGGGATTGATCAACGCCGAGAGCTTTGTCCTTTTTCTTATTAACAACTATATGATTTTCCGTAATAGCCAACATAAGATCTCGGTCTCTTTGAATGTCGACTGTTTTTTTGGTCTGTAAACTGTCATGCAATTTCTCTTAACTATCCTCTAAGAGACTGACTTTCTGTAGTGTTTTCCCTTTACATCTTACATTACCCAACGAATGGAGAGTGAAATGACAGCTCTGTCTTTCACAAAATTGAGGATCCAAAAGAATCGCATGTAAACGCAGCACCGAAACTCCAATATTATCCCAGCGATGACAGCCCAACGGTTCTGATGTTAAGGCAATGATCGAAGAAGATGTTGGTCTGTTCAACGGTTATGGGTTCTTTCTTTATGGTCTCTGTGATGGATATAGTTACAGTCTGAAAGGGGCAAAAATGAATCACCTGTATCACTTGTCGTCCCATTGGTCGCCGAGTGACTGGAACGGGAACCACTACATTTTGGCTGTTGCGTGCAGGAGTAGGCCAAGGGGTTCTGCTCGCTCTAAGGACTAGTTGGGTATCATATCTTTCTTCAAGAGTTTTGGTGAAGAACTCTGAACATTGGCTCAGTGGTCATTCTGCTGTACGTTTGACATTTCGAGAAATCCAGTCGCTAACCACTAACGGCTCTTGTCCATCGGTCGTCGTTCATACCCATTACGTATCTGGCCCATTTGTCTTCACAACTTGGGTTATAGAACGGCGTCTAGGAATTTTGCTCGCTGACACAGGTCGGAGCATCGGATCACTTCTCTAATTTGGGTGACATGAAATACTCCTAGCATCATCTTTTCGACTGCGCGTTTAGTAATGCTGAGTGATCTTACATCCTGCTTACGCAACGACCAGGTTTCTGACGCATACGTTAGGACAGGAAGAATCGTGGAGTCGAAAAGTGGGCGCGGAGTCAGGTATTGCAAGCTCCATAAGTCGGTCGCTGCCTCCTTCTCAACTCTGGAACTAAGTCGTTCACCGTGCTGATTTTGCGACTTAGATGTAATTATAACATTCGGAGATATTCATTCTATTGAGCGTGAATGGGGCAAACGTAACCAATCCGTTCTTCATAAACAGAAATGAATATGCAACGAAATCGACTATCAAATAGTGACGGTAATATGGTTGGATGGTTAACAAGTTTCCTTTTTTCACCACACGAGAAAGTTGGATATCTTCCACAACCACCGAAAGATGCATAGAACAACGCATCCGTAAGATACGCAAAATTGAAACTACCAATAAAAAGCATGGGAAAGCTGAATTATGGAACGGAAACTATAACGAGTAGAGCCGGTGCACTCTTGGAGGGTGCACTTTATCCGGCACGATTCGAATATGACTCGCATCCGAAATTTTGGAGTCATCGTCCCATGCACCCACTTCCAAGCAAAAATAGGTGCCTTTGCCAGTGGGTTAACTACAAACATCGAAAAAAATTTGGCATCCTAATTGCTACCAAACACAAATTGGAAGTGGACTTGCCATTTTGACAGTTTATCGTATATTCCAGAACCGCATGAACATTGTGAACTACGACCAGATCCAAGTTGTCCAGGCGGCCCACCTGGACCACCAGGACAAGATGGAGAAGATGGAGGTAAATGGTGAATTTTATTATACGGCGAACCAGAGCGAAAGCATTGCACCTAAACGTTTTGTTCTTTTCCTTTATTCTAAGTATCCATACAGTATTAATGAAAACATAGTGCTGCTATCAGCAATCGCCCGTCAACGGGAATGACCTGGAGAGCTCAAATCAGTACTGTACCCAGTTATGCCGAAACTGCAGTGGAAATCACAGCGCCCAACTATTATTCATTTCCTCTTATTTTTTATGACAGTGTATTATTTGAAATACAGTCAGAAAGATGCTGAGACATGAGCAAAACTCAGAACACCAGCTGAGGTTCGAACGCGCGATTACTTTTTCCATGGACTCACGTGTCATCCACTCCACCAATAATGATAGGCAGTAAATAAAAGTTAGACATTGGGATTTCAACTGCAGCACTAGCTTAACTGGATTCAATGCCGAAAAAACCGGCTGAGAGGGAGGCAAGAAAGCAAGTGCATCCATGGTGCCCTGGATGACAAGTGAGCCAGCAGCAAGGGCAGTCGCGGGTTCTAAACTCAGCCGGAGCTCCGACTCGTATATTACTCTGACATGAAAAAAATAATAGAGGGCTAATAAAAGGTGGAGGTTGAAAACTTAAAATTTGTTACATTTACTTGCATTTATTACAATACTACGACGTGTCAAAATTGAAACCGGGAACTTAAAAACCGCTACACGGATGGCGGTCTCGTGTTTCCTTATTGATCTTAAACAGAGTGGAACGAAAAGTGTTACTTTATATTCCATTCTTTACGAACTCCTTAATCCTTAATAATGCCGCTTTTAGACGACGGTCTTCGTGGACAAGCAGGAATCGACGGGCTCGATGGTCACAGAGTCCGCAGCAGCCACATGAAGTGTAAGCAGTGTCCTTTAGGCCTACCAGGGCCACCAGGGCCACCTGGACGAACTGGACCACGAGGAAAAGATGGTTAGTGTATTGCGTATTTTTTTATATGGAAATGATTAGTGTCGTTTCAGGACCGGATGGCGAACCAGGAGTCGTTCCCGTCGGCCCCCCAGGACCTAAGGGCGACCCCGGCCCACAAGGTGATGCAAAATTTGAGTTCTACAAATATAAATTATTATCCTACACTGCACCTGGCTTTTTACCCACCATAAAGTGAAAACTTACTGAGATAAATTAAGCAATCAAAGTTATTCCAGGAATAATAGGAACACCAGGCACTCCAGGTGAACCCGGAAAATTCTATATCCGATGGGTTTCTTCTCCAGGCGAGAAAGGCTTTCCAGGTAAGCCAACCCTCGATTCCAAACCCTCTCATTCACATACTTCTACGAATCAAATTTTGAGAGTGGCCCTTCTCAAAATGGCTTATGCTGCATGTTATTTTGTCAAACTGAATAGATGAAAAGCTCGATTTCTTTCGCAGAAGATGGGCCATTTTTAAATATTGCGTGTGTGGTCAGAAATTTACGTACTCACTACACTAAAACTGCCTTCTATTTTTGTTTTTCTTTTCCGAAGAATATTCAACTTGTAACAGTTCCCAGGATCGACTTTCTATTAACCTCGGCATTAGAATATGAATGTGTCGTTTTCTTGTTCAGCAATCGCGAGGTTTTTAAACAGCATACATTTACTTC